ACTCTACACTCTACACTCTACACTCTACACTCTACACTCTACACTTTAAACTCTACACTCTACACTCTACACGTGTCTATGTTAAAAATACTTGTTGCTTAGAGAAAAAGACCAAAAAAATGTGATGTTTAAAAACTGTCTTTATTTGTATTATGAAAAAGTGAAACATTTTTCTTCATATTTAGAGAAAAAAAACTAAATATGTTTTTCTTGTTTTTCTATACAAAAGCATGGGATAGCTTGAAAAGCATATTTGGTTTGCAAATTGCACTAAAGTTTAACACCTTGAGTATAAGTATTAAGTAAGGCTACTGACAAAGTATTCCTGCAGAGCACTTGTGGAACTGGAAAGATGGCTTTATATAATACAGGGTGATACAAATAATAAGAAAATAAATCTAGATTTTTAACAGAAAATTTCTTAATCCTCAAAAACCAAAAAAAGATTTTTTTTAACAAATACTGTGTTTTTAGTATTGTAAGTTTTAAGGTAAAAGGGTGTTACTTAGAAACTTAAGAATTAATCTAGTGGCTTTAATCCATGGACACCCTGCAGATACAGGCTTAGACCACATGTTGGATAAAGGAATGAAAGGCCTGAACTATGCACAAACTTGATACTAGGACTTGAATGTTTATCCAGGGATGTTTAATCTTTGATTTAAATTTTAAATTTCTCTACCCCTGTACAGTGTACACAAAATGTTCTTTTCTTCAAATTTCTTTAAGGGGTATGTACTACATATAAAAATAATATTTTTTGAAAAAGGTGCTGTCCAAAGTAAATTATAATTTTGTGTGAATTATTTATTTCTGTATATTAAATATGATACTGCAACTGCTTTACTGCTTTTCAAATGGTTTTATATTTTTTTATTCATATATAATATATGTGCATTGTATACACGCATTAATATACTAATAATAAAATTTCCTCATTTAGTTTTTGCAAAACTTTTTATAATCCTTTATTTATTCTCAACACCCCCCCCCCCCCTCTTCCCTAAAACTTCAGATCTGTCGGTCAACCATTCATGTTTCGTAAACTCCCCAAATTTCTCGTCTAGTTTTATTTTTAGCAGTTCAAATCTAGAATATTACTCTTAAATTGACAAATAATATATTTTTTAATTTCTTTTCTTAGACATACTTTGTCTTTTGATTTTCACGAATTATGTAATATTTTCTTTTCAAAATATTTCTATTTTATAGGACTGATTCTATAAAAACAAACCTCGTAACATATTTCCTCCTTTAGAGTTGTACATTATGCTACAGATAGAGAACACTTTTAACCAATTCAGATTGTTAAAGTAATTTGAAGGTTAGATTTTATCTTTTGTTTAATGGTCTACTGAAAAATATTTAGAAAAAATGAGACAGTCTGATTTATAGTGTGATCCTGTGTGGGTAACTCTGTATATATATATCTATGTTAATATATATATTGTATATACATATTATATATATCTCTGTTATTATATATATATTGTATATATATATTATATATATCTATGNATATATATTCTTCCAGTGCCTGGTTTAGTACTCTAGTACACAGCAGTACACATTAATATATTCCTCAAGTACCTGGTTTAGTACTCTAGTACACAGTAGTACACATATATATATTCATCCAGTACCAGGTTTAGTACTCTAGTACACAGCAGTACACATTCATATATTCTTCCAGTGCCTGGTTTAGTACTCTAGTACACAGCAGTACACATTAATATATTCCTCAAGTACCTGGTTTAGTACTCTAGTACACAGTAGTACACATATATATATTCATCCAGTACCTGGTTTAGTACTCTAGTACACAGCAGTACACATTAATATATTCATCCAGTACCTGGTTCTTCAGTACTAGCTAGTACACTACACATCCTAGTACCTATTACATGGTTAAGTACTGTAGAGTACACACACATTTAGTACAGAATACAATTTACAAAGTACTTTAACCTTGTACTATGTCTGATATAAACCTTTGTAAAAATTTTGAATTTAATCTGTTAAATAATATTGATTTCTGGTAAACCAGATTATACAGCTTACTCGGCACATCTTTCAATAATTTAGGTTTAGTCAGCTACATTGTGCTACCTTACCTTCCCCGTCTCATCCTGTCCTTCCCCCTCTCATCCCTCCCACCTCTCATCTCTCACCCCTTTGGCTTTATTTTATTTTCTTCTATTTTCTTCTATTTTCTTCTATTTTCTTTTAGAGAGTAGGAAGGTAGGGGTTTTTACGATTTAGTTTTTATTATCATAAAAGATCTTCCAATTTACTTTTTAGTGATAATTACAGTTCAATTAAAAAAGTCATTTAAGTAAATATCCTAAGAAAAATTTTATGAACATTTTTCTGCGAGTTATTTATAAAATTGATAATTTTTATAGAAATGTTCATCGCTGAATTTTCTGATATTTTAACACGGCTTGACTTTCAAGTTTCAGAAGAAAAAAAGAAGTTTTCGTTTAAAAAAAATTACCAAGTTAAAGTCGAGGTAATGGTTAACATTTTAAAAAAGGATTTGAAAGAAAAACTTAATTTCAAGAATTTTATCAACTTTAAAGGAACATAGTTAAAACCTTTTTTCTTAAAACATGTCATTACTTCTTAATTGTAGATAATTTGTGTCGAAAAAATGATATATTTGGAACGCCGAACAATATATTCTAATTTCTTCATCAATTTTATGTAATTATCAATAACCTAATATTTTCTAAATATCAAGTTATAGTACAAATTGTTTGAATCATGTAATTAAATGTAAATACATTACTTAGATTGAACAAGATTCAACCTGTTTTATTTTATGTTTTATTGATCTAAAAATCTTTTTTAAAAATTATAATTTTAAAAAACTTACAGAAATGATTTCCTGGTCCTGCGTAATGATGCTGCTTGAAGGCTGCATATAGACCAGGGTTTATACCAACCTAAACATCATATTTTTCATCAACTTAAAAAAAATATTTGAAGAATTTGTAAAGTTATTGTATAAAGTATAATTAATGTTTAGTACAAACTGGTTTAACAGCTAAACTATTAAAACATTTTTTATGAAAAGATGCCAGGGCAGGAACTGAAAGGTAGACTACACCCTTCAAGGAATTGAAAGGTTGACTACACCCCTAAAGGAACTGAAAGGTTGACTACGCCCCTGAAGGACCTAAAAGGTAGACTATACCCCTGAAGGAACTGAAAGGTAGACTACACCCTTTAAGGAACTGAAAGGTTGACTACACCCCTAAAGGAACTGAAAGGTTGACTACGCCCCTGAAGGACTAAAAGGTAGACTATACCCCTGAAGGAACTGAAAGGTAGACTGCACCCTTCAAGGAACTGAAAGGTTGACTACGCCCCTGAAGGAGCTGAAAAGGTAGCCTATACCCCTGAAGGAACTGAAAGGTAGACTACACCCTTCAAGCAACTGAAAGGTTGACTAAACCCTTCAAGGAACTGAAATGTAGGCTAAACTCCTGAAGGAGCTGAAAGGTTGACTACACCCTTGAATGAACTGAAAGGTAGACTAAACCTTTCAAGGAACTGAAATGTAGACTATACCCCTGAAGAAACTGAAAGGTAGACTACACCCTTAAAGTAACTGAAAGGTAGACTACACCCCGGAAGAAACTGTAAGGTAGACCACCCCCCCGAAGGAACTGAAAGGTAAACTACACCCTACAAGTAACTGAAAGGTAGACTAAACCCTTCAAGGAACTGAAAGGAAAACTACACCCCTGAAGAAACTGAAAAGTAGACTACACCCTTAAAGGAACGGAAAGGTAGACTACACCCCTGCAGGAGCTGAAAGGTAGACTACACCCCTGAAGGAACTGAAAGGTTGACTACACCCCTGAAGGAACTGGAAGGTTGACTACACCCTTCAAGGAACTGAAAGGTTAAATACACCCTTCAAGGAACTGAAAAGTTGACTACACCCCTAAAGGAACTGAAAGGTAGACTACACCCTTAAAGGAACGGAAAGGTAGACTACACCCCTGAAGGAGCTGAAAGGTAGACTACACCACTGAAGAAACTGAAAGGTTGACTACACCCCTGAAGGAACTGGAAGGTTGACTACACCCTTCAAGGAACTGAAAAGTTGACTATACCCTTCAAGGAATTGATAGGCAGACTACACCCTTCAAGGAACTGAAAGGTAGACTAAACCCTTCAAGGAACTGAAAGGTAACCTACACCCTTCAAGTAACTGAAAGGTAGACTAAACCCTTCAAGGAACTGAAAGGTAGACTACACCCCGGAAGAAACTGTAAGATAGACCACGCCCTTGAAGGAACTGAAAGGTAGACTATACCCTTCAAGGAACGGAAAGGTAGACTAAACCCTTCAAGGAACTGAAAGGTAGACTACACCCTTTAAAGAACTGAAAGGTTGACTACAGCCCTGAAAGAACTGAAAGGTTGATTACGCCCCTGAAGGAACTGAAAGGTTGGCTACGCCCCTGAAGGAACTGAAAGGTTGACAGGGGGAGGAAATCTCTGTCAGATTAAATCTGAGACCAAGACGACTGCACAATCAGCACACTAGGGAAATCAGGGGCGTAATCATTTGAAAATAAGGGGGGGGGCCTGGGGGTTTGATATGAAAAAATAATTGTATAATAATGATATCAATTGATAAATACTATGCCAGTATATGTACATTTATTATCTAAAAGGTATTATATAAATTCAAAATAGTTCCATTTAAACCTTATTATTTTAAGAAAGGCTAATGTTTATTCATCAAAAAAAAATAGACAGCTTTTTATTCAAGCGACGAGTAGTTGTGGCTCAAACGAGCAAGAAAATAGCCAAGATGTGTTCTTATTCCAAACAGAAATATTGCTAATTCTATATAAAGGGTTACCCACAAAGGTTGAGACTGTAAAGACGACTTTCATTATTTACCATATATTGATAAAAAGGAAAAATATTTAAATTCTGCCTGGAATATTGTATTTAAATGAATGCAAAGAAATAAATCCAAGTTTACAACTGGAGGGGAAAAAAATGTAGGTAAAGTGACTGAATAAAAATGTAGGGAAATTGACTGAATAAAAATGTAGGGAAAGTGACTGAATAAAAATGTAGGGAAAGTGACGGAATAAAAATGTAGGGAAAGTGACTGAATAAAAATGTAGGGAAAGTGACTGAATAAAAATGAAGGGAAAGTGACTGAATGAAACTGAAGGGAAAGTGACTGAATAAAAATGTAGGTAAAGTGACTGAATAAAAATGCAGGGAAAGTGACTGAATAAAAATGTAGGGAAAGTGACTGAATAAAAATGTAGGGAAAGTATCTGAATAAAAATGTAGGGAAAGTGACTGAATAAAAATGTAGGGAAAGTGACTCAAAAATCTTATCCTTTGTATTTATTTTTGAAAGAAAGGAATGTTTAAAGCGTAGTTAACATCACTCTTTATATTCAGAAACTGCAGTACACTTGTTTGTAAACAAAGATATAGAAATTCGTGATGTTTAAACCATTGATTTTAAAAAATGTTGGTGTTCTATTTTAGCATTTTACTGTACAACATGTTCAATAATTCTATGAATTCGCCAGTGTTGCAAACTAGAAGAACTAGATTAGACAGAACCCTAGCCTTCCCTCTAATATAATGTAATATGAGAAGTATGGGGGGGGTGTAGGAGAGGACAGGGAATACAAGGAGTATATAGGACAAAGGAATACAAGGAGTATATAGGAGAGGACAGGGAATACAAGGAGTATATAGGACAAGGGAATAAAAGGAGTCTATAGGAGAGGACAAGCATTACAAGGAGTATATAGGAGAAGGGAATACAAGGAATATATAGGACAAGGGAATACAAGGAGTATATACGAGAGGACAAGGGAATACAAGGAGTAAATAGGAGAGGACAAGGGAATACAAGGAATATATAGGAGAGGACAGGAATTACAAGGAGTATATAGACAAGGGAATATAAGGAGTTTCTAGAAGAGGACAGGGAATGCAAGGAGTATATAGGAGAGGACAGGGAATACAAGGAGTATATAGGAGAGGACAGGGAACACAAGTAGTATATGAACAAGGGATTACAAGGAGTATATTGTAGAGGACAGGGAATACTAGCAGTATATAAGACAAGGGATTACAAGAAGTATACAAGAGAGGACAAGGGAATACAAGGAATATAAAGGACAAGGGAATACAAGGAGTATACAGGAGAGGACAAGGGAATACAAGGAGTATATAGGAGAGGATAGGGAATACAAGGAGTATATAAGACAAGGGAATACAAGGAGTATTATAGGACAAGGGAATACAAGGAGTATACAGGAGAGGATAAGGGAATACAAGGAGTATATAGGACAAGGGAATACAAGGAGTATACAGGAGAGGACAAGGGAATACAAGGAGTATACAGGAGAGGACAAGGGAATACAAGGAGTATATAGGACAAGGGGATACAAAGAATAAGTAGGAAGCAGTAAAGGATAAATACTTACAATAAGGATATCTAGGTTTGGACAGATTAAATCAGGAAGAAGTCTTTTCATGACTTCCTCCTCAGCTAATCCATTGAACCGGTTGTGTTTTCTCCGGGGCTTCTTTTCCTTCCCATCCAGGTCATCATCCTTCAGCTCCAGATCATCATCATGCTCAGCTATCACCAGCTTTCCATCACAGTCGTCGTCAAACGATTGATCAAGATCACTACTGAAAATAAAATCTCTGTTAAAGGTACCACCGACGGTATTTTAACTGACCATCCATGTTCAATGCATTCAGGCACCTGACTTTATCTTGGTAGCAAAGAGAATTTCTATCTTTTAAATAAATAAATTCTTCCAATTTCTTAGCGACATGAATCCGCAATTAAGTCAATTTTGTTGTAAAACCGCAATTTGAAATTGAAAACGAATATAAAATCTTAAATTTTTTATGTTAAATTGGTTCCACGTAAATAGGGCATTTAATTCTTAAAACTACGTCAACATTCTCTGCGAATTCTTTTTTAAATAATAACATTTTTAATTGTAAATGTTCTTTGAAAATATCTGAACAATATTCTTTTATTCTCATCCTCTCTCTCTGCATTAACAAATTGAAAAGTTTATTCTTATATTTTTAATAATAATAATATTAGTAATGAAGAAAGAAAAAAATAAACCAAAATTACAAGTCAACGCATATGACATATGGCTTTTTTTCTTCTAATATTTCGTAAAATTGGTAATTTTAAATTGGAAAAACAAGAATAAAAAAATGTCTTGTACACTTTTTTGTGCTTATTATAGTCTTTTTTGCTATTTTAAATTAGAAAACGTGATTAAATAAACAGCAATTTTTCTCTATGAAAACGTCCTCATCCTGTTATTAAAGGTTAGGGTTAAGCTATATGAGCAGAAATCATGTTTTATTTTGAACTGGTCGTACCTGCGTGAGTCCTCTTCTTTCAACTGCATAGGTAACAAAGCATCAGGCTTAGGGCTCCGGGGTTTTCTAGGTTTCCGGGGCTTTTTAGCCTTAGGGGTAATCAAGGGCATTGGCATGCTGGAGAACCCCATACTGTAGGGGGCAGGGGTTCGGTTGGGTGAGCACACATCATCATCAGAGTTGGAGAAGCTGTAAGGATCCTGGCGGGGGGAAGGATGGTTTCCTCCTAGTCCTCCCAGGATACCGGGGTGTCCGAACTCAGGTTTAAAACTGGGAGGAGCATGAGGATCCTGCATCCTACTCTGGTTCATGTACATCTCGTGGGACCCCATCATGGATCTAACCTCGGAGGAAAAGTTGTGAGGAAATCCATGCGACGACATGAAGTTCTGTCCGTAACTGTTTGCATTGTTGAAATAATGATGATTATACGGGGAGTACTGGGATCCCATGGAGTACTGGAGTCCCTGGAGGTGGGAGTCCACACTCTGATCAGGGGGAGGATGGTAAGGAGTTCTCTGAAACGAGTTCTCTGAATTAGGACTAGGGATGGGATGCGCCGGAGATTGATGAAGGTTGAGAGGGTGAGCAGGAGATTGACTGACATTACTACCAGTGTGAGCTGGGGATAGATGAAGACTCTGTGGAGAATGATGAAGATGAGGAACTGGAGGTGATTGATGAAGGTTCTGAGGATGAGAATCATATTCTCCAGGTCTAGGAATAGGAAACCTTATTGAATGCTGAGGAGGTTCTAGATCCCCTTCCTCCTGACTAGGATCACAGGAGTAGGGTATATGAGAGATGTGAGGGAGGGGGGGCTCTCTACCCTCCCTAGCGGAGTGAGATTCAGAGTTCGGAGACATATCTCTCTCTCTAGCGGTGTCTTTGTGTTCAGAAACGTCTCTGGGATTTCTCTCCTCGTAATTATAAAGATTGTGTTCACTTCTATTTGGTAAGCTGGGTGAGGCTGTCATGTGCCGGTCAACCTCCGGATGATTCTGAACATCACCTGGATTATAATCATATTTAAGCTTGGCGTACTTCCGGTCATTATGCTGAGAATAATCTAGGTCAGGTTGGCGCTCAGAACTCGGATAAGACAGATCGATAGTTTGCTCATCGGAGTCCAATCTGTGAGGATGAGCAACAGAGTCTAGTCTTGAAAGATGACCGTCAGAGTCAAGTCTGTGAGGATGACCGTCGGGGTCCAATCTATGATAAGGACCATTAGCTTGTGATAAGTCTAGACAAGGTTGGTAACCATCAACCCCCCTTTGTGATAGATCCAAACTGGTTTGTGGTTGGGGTTCCTCAAGGGGCGGTTTTGGGTCCTCCATTGTTGGTGTATTTTCTCCTCGGCTTGGATGAAAACACTCAACCTCAGTCGAAGCGGGAGGCCCATCACCATTCAGAAGAGGGGTTATCGAGGACCTAAAATTTAGACATGTTAGTTAAAATATGTAAGACATTTTGAGAGAGAAAAAATTGAAATGTATAATGTGTGGCGCTTATAATATTTAAAAAAAAAACATTTCATCAAATGTAAAATAAAAACGAAATGGTCAAACATGACAAATTTTTACTCTGACACTCAAAATCTGTAAAGGTATTTTATCAACAGTATATCAAATTTTTTTTAGTAAATCTTTATTCAGACAGCAGAACATTTCTTCTGCCAATTTAATCCAAGAAATAGTACAGAACACAAAGACTATCAAACAATAAGTGTAATGCATAAACAACCCTAGTCGAAGTAAAAATGGGTTTAAGCCAGTACATACATGAAAACCATTTTTTACTAAGCAGAAATGTTCATTATAGCCAAGATAATAGACTGTCAACATTAATTCTCCGTATCAGGAATGGTTTAAGCTGCTTAAAGGGGCTGTCGGCGTAAATCTAAGTGACCTCCCAATTCTATCGAGTTACAATGGTTTCCTTTTTATTTTGAGAAGTAATGGGGAAAATATCTTTGTTTTCAGTTCTTAAAAAGTATCGAATTCTGTAGATTTAATTTCTTCTCTCTGGCACATGAATCTCTAATCACTTTAACTTACACCTCCAGTCCCTTTAAATGTTGAATAATCAAAAGAGTAAAATGTTGATAATATGTGAATTTTGAAATATGGCAATAATCTCTTTTGATATTGCTAATGGTCGAGTCTTAATCTCTGTGCACTCAGTGTAAACCAAAATTCAATCTTAAGCAAAAAAAAACAATATTGTTGCAGTTTTAAACTGTACATGTCCAGGGCTACAAAAAGTTTAACTGATACAAATTGATTTCTGTGATTAATGACAAATATGTGGAGAAAATTTTGTATGTTAAGATTTTATTTTAAAAAGAAAAGTATTAAAGAAATGAAATTAAGAGTGCCATTTTATTCATTATTTAAGATTTAATGATATGGATTAACCATTCTATTTTTCGCTAACATTCCTTTTAGAGAGAAATATTTAAGAGCAAAAAGTCGTTGAGAGGACTTCGAATAAATTTTCCAGCAATAGGAGTAAAAAACCTTGTAATAAAGAATTGCTGATCCGTCAAAATAAGAAAACCTCTGCTTTGCATCCAACAATTCTTGGTATTTTTCAATATATATATAAATATATTTTTTTAAAACCTATAGTTTATTAAAGTTTTTTTTTGAAAAAAATGATTTTTTCGAAAAACAGTCATAGCCTTGAAAAAAAAATAGTTTTGAATAAGTGTAAGAATAACATTTAAAGGGGTTGGAAGCTTAATTTCAAATGACCATTCGTGCAAAGATGGCAATGCCCGATTCACAGAGATACAATAAAAAGCTTTCTCTGATTAGGTATGAATTATATATCCGTGTTTATAATTTAAAAACTGATTATTTCTAACTGATGGTGTCTCAACGAAATTGACTTGCGCATTTCTACTGCATGAAGTAATTATTAGAGTTAAACACTTTTAAACCTAGAAAACAACAATATCTTCCACATTATGCATTGTTTTGATAGATGTCTAAATGGTACCGTTGTGAATTGGGCATTGCCATCTTTGAATCGAGGGTTATTTGAAATAACGTTTACAGTCCCGTCTATAAAAAAAATTATGGAAAACTTCGTTATGCCCAAAATCATCCCAGAGCGCCATGCTAGGTTCCTCAAAATCCAAGGTTCATACTTTTAACACTTTGAAGAAGGGAAATAAGACAAATCAGTGAATCTAGTAGTTTTTGAGAAATCTTGAATCAATCTTTTTGATTTATCCCAGGACAAAAATAAAATAAAATAAAACAAATTTCTACCACTTTGCAATTAGAATCATTGAAAAATTAGAAAAAGAAAATAAAAATTTTTCTATCCCGCCTCCCACCCCCTTTCAACCACCCTTTTTTTGCGCCCCTGGAACCCCATCCCTTTACCAGCCCTCCCCTCGTTTAGCTGATTCTTGGCTAAAGATTGACACTACTTGTCTACTTGTCTACTCCTCTACCAATTACTATTATTGGGGATAAAAAGATTTTGGTTGAGGACCAGGGAGAGAGAAATGCAGGGTGCTTTAGTAAACATGAGAGACGACTTACTCATCGTCTTTAATCTTAAAAGCTATCTAATAACAAAGTGTGTTTAGAAAAAGATCTCATTGGGGAGAAAAAAAAGAAGGATGAGATAAAGAGAAGGATGAGATAAAGAGAAGGATGAGATAAAGAGAAGGATGAGATAAAGAGAAGGATGAGATAAAGAGAAGGATGAGATAAAGAGAAGGATGAGACAAAGAGAAGGAGGAGTTAAAGAGAAGGATGAGATGAAAGAGAAGGAGGAGATAAAAAGAAGGATAAACTAAAGAGGAGAATGAGATAAAGAGAAGGCTGAATACATTCATTTGGAATTGTTTGCTGAGAAAAAACCTACCAAAATCACAATCTACCAAAATCACAATCTACCAAAATCACAATCTACCAAAATCACAATCTACCAAAATCACAATCTACCAAAAGCACAATCTATTGAAATCTAAACCCTATATCCCCCAGTCTCCATGTTTACCTTTTTAGTTTAACCCTATTTAACCCTAGCCCCTTTATTCATGGATACCTTTTTAGTTTAACCTTGTTTAACCCTATCCCCTTTATCCATGTTTACCTTTTTAGTTTAACCCTATTTGACCCTATTTAACCCTAGCCCCTTTATCCATGGATACCTTTCAGTTTTAACCCTATTTAACCCTATCCCCTTAATCCATGGTTACCTAATAGTTTTAACCCTATTTAACCCTATCCCCTTAATCCATGGTTACCATATAGTTTTAACCCTATTTAACCCTATCCCCTTAATCCATGGTTACCTAATAGTTTTAACCCTATTTAACCCT